TGGGTAGAGCACCAGGCCTGGAGTCAGAAAGACCTGCGTTTAAATCTAACCTCGGACATTTTACTGGCTGTGTGACCTTGGACAAGTCACTTAACCCCTGGTTGCTTCAGTTTCCTCATCTGTAAAATGAAGATAATAATAACTCCTGCCTCCCAAAGTTGTGAGTATTGAATAAGATAATAATTATAAAGTGCTTAGTATGATTCCTGGCACATAATTATCACTATTGAAATGTTAGCTATTATTAACTGTTATTATTATGACTATTCACAAAACCCTTTGGAGAGTGTGAATCATTTATACAAACAGATCTTGGCACACCAATGAGAGTAGAATTTCATTTATCAAAGAAGATATTTGTAAAGCACTTAGCACAGGGCCTAGCACATGTTAGACACTTAATAAATGTTTGTTCTCTCTCCTCCTTCCCCTTATTTAAGTGTTACAAGGGAAATGGGCATTCTGTGTGATGTGTGCATTTAAAGGTGAATAATGCTTACCACTTGAAGTGATGAAACATGTTTATTTTAACCACTTTTTGATTTACGTCCTTCTCAAATATATTATATATTCAGGAGCTTCTTTCCTAAACATATCAAATGTAATTCCAAACTTTTGTGGGTGACTCAGGCCCATCTTTATGATCAGGGCCTTTTGAGATCAGTGAGGCTATTTGTTATGGCGGCTTTTCTTGGAAGTGATTGGTTGTTTTCTTCTCCATCCTCATGTCAGTGCATTATTATTATTTGCATTATTTGGGATGCTACTTCTCCTAAGTCCCTATCTACCGGCATCATGTCTGCTGCTACCATATAACCATTGTAAACAAGCAATTGCTCACATCTTCATGAAACTTAACGTGAAAAACTAGGTTTATTACAAGAGAAATGATCATGCATGTGGAACCCTGAGCAAGTGCAAAGCGTTCACAATCCAAACAGAAGCTTGTATATTTATGACAGTACAATGGAAAGAGCAGGAAACAGAAATCTCCTCCTAAATGAGAGTGGCATGGGAGGAGGAAAGGTGCAGTAAATGTGGGGAGGGAAGGAGCAAGGTGACGGCCAAAGCAGCATTCTTTTACCTTGGGAACTGCTAGAGTCTAGCAGTTTTACAGAACAAATCCTTTTATTAAGGAGATGTGTTCTGTGAAGTTTGGATTCAGTCAAAGGGCTGCACTTGAGGACCTAGCAGGTTCCCCACCCCTGGGCTAGACCATGAAGATAGGATGGTATGCTTCTCTCCAAGGGTCCCAGCTGCACGAGGAGCTTCTCAGTTCATGCACGCTGACTGGAGCTTGTCCTGACTCCGAAGCACACACAGGGAGTCCAGCCTGGGGTGCGAACAACAAATTATGGCAGCTCGGGCTGCCTGGTGGGGAGTTTCATCCTTGACATGTTCAAGGCCTCCTGCACACTCTGGGCTCAGTGTTTTTGGAAAATATGGCAGCTCAAGACAGATTAAGTTGGATTCAGGGCAACAGAGATATGAATCATAAAGGGCAAAGCAGCTCACCATGACATTCCATTCAAGCCTATGGTAGTTGGCTTGGTCCTGAAAGCTGTATTCTTTATTACATTCCATTTGCATTTTCTTTTTAAGTACACGATTCATCAAGTAATAGTCAAAACTGTCCTGTTTGTGTTTCCTTCTGGCATTTTATTTTATTCTGTGCATTTAAAGAAAATGTTTCAATGACTCTTCTTCCTTCCCTCCTTCCTTCCTCCCTCCTTCCTTCTTTCTTTTTTTCCTTCCTTTCTTATGACCTACTAGCCTTTTCTCCTACCCCTTCCCTTAAAAATAAAACAAAAGAAAAACAAAATCCTTATAACAAATACGCATAGTCAAGCAAAACAGATCCTCACATTGGCTGTGTTGGAATATGTATGTCTCATTCTGGTCCTTTACCAGTCTGTTGGAAGGTGAGTAGCACATTTCATCACTGGTCCTCTGGAATGACGCTTGGTTATTGCACTGATTGAAATTCCTAAGTCTTTGACAATTGTTTTTCTTTAAAATGTTGCTGCTGTTTAAATCATTCTTCTAATTCTGTTCTCTTAGTTGTGTATCAGTTCATATAAGTCTTCCCAAGTTTCTCTGACTCCAGCATTTCCTGCTGCATAAAATTCCACTGCATTCATATAGCACTGTTTGTTCATCTGTTATCCATTTGGTGGGTACCTCTTAATCCGTGTACAATTAATTAGAAACAGCACAGATAGTGAGTTTGGCCTCTGAGCCAGTGAGAACTGGGTTCAAATTCTGCCTCTGAGCAACCTCATACTGGCTGTGTGACCTGTGTGGCTGTGTAAAAATATTACTATTACTGTATATCTATTACTATGCACTGTATTTCAGTACAATTGATTTCCTTTGTAATCTAGTGTATTTTATTTTATGTATTTAAAATCATTAAACTGAGAAAGGCTCAGTCTGGCTTCTACGGACTACCTGAGGAGTCCGTGACATAAAAAAAGGTTAAGAAGCTCTAATTTAGAATTTAAATTCATCCCCATCTTATTGTCAGATGAGGATCCTTTGACGTACGTATGCTTTTTCCCTGTTTTGCCAATGAGGGAATCATGGCTCAGAGAGATTTAAGTGGTTCACTGATGGTCACAGAACTAGTAGGTGTCATTTGGGGGGGGGGGGGTCTCTCCTGACTTCAGGTTGATATTATTCTTTATGCACTCATGAAGGTGTACTCTTTGTACACTTCTCACTTCCTTAAACATAGGGACTTAATTTAACTTTCTATATGAATCCCCAGCACTTAGCACAATTCTTGGTGCATAATCAATAAACACATTCATTCATTCATTCACCACCATACTTCTTGAGGGCTAGCTACCTTAGTCTATTTATGATTTGGAGACAGGGATTGTGAGAAGATTAAAATCGATCCTGTATTATTTTCTTATTAATCTTTACAAGTAATTGATTTTGTCCTGTTCGCTACTTTTGTCCTGTAACTGCTTAAGTTATGGTTCTTTGTCTCTGAACATAGTTCAGAGATCAGCTGGACTGTAATGGGTTAAATTTAAAAATCCAGCTCCCCTGCTAAAGGAATTTAACTGACCTTGAAGAATGTGTGTGCATAGAAAGAGAGTTTGGGTTTGGTTTCTTTACTCCCAACAAGCTTCATCCTTCAAGGATGTCTGGTTTGCTGTCCAAAAGTCTGGGCTGCTGTCTTGTACCTGCACTCAGAACCGTGAGCATTTCTTAATCTCATGAGAGAAGAAGAGGGGTCATTGCTAGCCCACGTTACTAAACTTCCAACCAATCATGTTGTTCCCTGACCCTCAGCCCTGTCAAATACCCTGCTCTGTTCTTTGTTCTGTACTCCCCAAAACCTTCAAAAGGGGAATTGTCTTTTTCCTTGGAGTCTTTGACTTTCATGGAGCCAAGCTATTGACACATTTATTGACAGGTAGCATGCCCTTGCTGATGAATGTTATCTTGTCCAGAGATCTGCCTCAGTTTTTGCTTTTGTTAAAATCTCAAATGCAACAATGCTTAGTGCCACATACGTGTAGATTAGAATCATTATCAATAATATAGTTAAAACTCAAACTGAGGATCATAATAGAAGTGAGCTCATCAAGGAAGGATAAGGGATTGTCTGAAATGTTTTTGGTATAAGTTCTTTGTGGTTTTTTGGTCAGATTAAAGAGCAGCCAGAGCCAATGTGTAGGCATGTAGGTTTGGATCACAAGAAAAATGCAATTAACTTACCCATTAACTCTGTTGTTAATAGTAGTTGATGGCTTAAAGTTATAAGAACTTTTGCTGAAATTAGAGGTGTTGAAATACAAAAATACCCAGGAAAGGTAAGTGCAGTGATTTAAGCATACTTATAGAAATTTGTACACATTATCACTTACTGACAGGCACTAATGAAGGCAAGACAGCTTAAAATTCAAACAAATGATTTGAGTTGGCAGTACATGTGTGAACAGAGCCCTAATTAAACTAATGTACCATTTGTCCTTCTCTGTTGCCAGATAACTAGCTGCTATATGTTACGTGTTGGCAGTTTTACCAAGTCAGAGAAGTTATTATTGTAGGCTTGGAGTGAGTCTGTATGATTATTCCAATCAAACGTGCTTAGATTGTAAGCTGTTGGTGGGCAGGAACTCTTTTTCCTTATATAATTTCTTACATTGTCAAGTAACTGAC